CATGTGACTTGAACCAACCAAATCACTTCATACATCATCAAAGAACATTTAAGGATAGGTCTTCTTGACTTGTTGGCTTGAATATGGTTGCAAGAATGATATCGGAAAGTGGCAATTTCTCAGCGGAATTGAAGATGGTTGCCACCCAATTGGCATGTCGAAACTATTCGCTGAATTAAACGGTCTCGAGTCCTTTTTGACAGGCCCATGATTTTCAACCATCACACATTCATCACTTTTTACGACACAAGTTGACTAAAATTATTTCTCCATATTGATTGATGGTCTCGGCAGTTGCTAACTATGCATATAAGTAGTATAGTCGATTTTGCTGGCAAAATAAAAGTTTTGAAGAATTCCAAAGTGACTTATTCTGACTTGACTAGCCATTTCGTAGGAAAGTTTGGTAGTAATGAAGTCAACAAGTAGACATCGTGAGAATCCTCGCGATCCAACTTTTTTTCGTATAAACGTTTTTTAGTGGCTATCTGACGTATTGTAGAGGCATGACAAAATTCTTGTAACTCCCCCAATATAACCATGACTACTCGGGCAGAGGGTGAATTCATCACAGTTTACTGACCAATTGGAGATCAAGCCATTTGTAGACACAGATCGAAATACCGGCAATGCCATTTTGATCGTCATGTTTGCGAGAATTCGGTTTAATCTGTTTAACAATGTGACTTTTGTGAGTAGTATTGCATTATTCACTCTGACCTACGCAGCAGAAGGTTGACATGTGACTTGAACCAACCAAATAACTTCATACATCATAAAAGAACATTTAATGATAGGTCTTCTTGACTCGTTGGCTTGAATATGCTTGCAAGGATGATATCGGAAAGTGGCAATTTTCCACCGGAATTGAAGATGGTTGCCACCCAATTGGCATGTCGAAACTATTCGCTAAGTTAAACGGGCTCGAGTCCCTTGTTATGGGCCCATGATTCTCAACCATCACACCTTCATCACCTTTTACGACACAAGTTGACTAAAATTCTTTCTCTATATTGATTGATGGTCTGGTCAGTTGCTAACTATGCATATAAGTAGTATAGTCGATTTTGCTGGCAAAATACAAGTTTTGTAGAATTTGTAAGTAGCTTATTCTAACTTGACTATGCATTTTGTAGGAAAACTTGGTAGGAATGAAGTCGTGATCAAGAGGACTCCGCTTTCCACTTTCCAGTTTTGACACGTCCTAAATACATTGACTGGAAATGTAAGTGAAGCCAACAAGTATACATGGCAGGTGAGTCTGTGAAATCCAACCAAAAAGTTGTGTCAACCCAAGTGATTGTCCGTGATGGGATTCAATAGAATCGGCTGAATATAGTCCATTTGTGAGCAGAGTGCTTTGACCAGTTCACTTTGGCGCCACATTTCAGTCTCGAAAGAGCGACTCGAACCTCGTCTTTTGGTGGCCAGCCAATCGTCAAGCTCGAGGCCGAGCCTACCTGAGTGGGCGTCAAGCTGATGAGTCCGGCCAAGTGTTCTCGCTCCGGCGCCGACAGGTATCGCTGATCGCGGAAGCGTCGCTCCAGCTCGTAGGTCTGCGTCTTGGTGAAGAGGATGCGTCGCTTGCGTCGTTTGCCCGACCCACTGGCCGCGCCGACGCCGACGGAGGAGGTCGCGGCGCCCGAGGCCTCGGCGAAACAGGCCAGTCCGACGGGATAGAAGTCGTCGCTGGGCGACGTTTTGTGCAGATGATGCGGGACGCGCTGCGGAGGCTGGAGCGCGAAGGCAGCTGATTGGTTGGCGTCGCGGCTGGCCGGGCTGTGCGGGTAGCCGGAGTTGGGCATGGGCAAAAAAGACTGACCGGCCGTCGTCACAGTCGACGTCGACGTCGACGTTGCCATTGGCGTCGGCGTCGCCGTTGCGGCGACCGCGGCTGCGGCAGCCGCGAAAGAGGCGTGCAGCGAGTCGTTGAAGGCGGTGAATGCGAGTCCGGGCGGAGTGTGTCCGCGTGGCGGTCTTGTCGTCTGTACCGACGGACTCGAACTGCCGAGTCCGTCGTGAGGCGGAAACGGAGGCGGAGGCGGAGGTGGATGCGGGCACGAGGCGTCCGGAGACCGGGTCTCTGGGGGTGGAGGGCCGGGCAGTCCGAGTCCGACGGAGGAGAGGAGGGCACGCGACAGAGCGATGGCGGCGGCGGCCTCGGCGCTGTGGCAGACGAACCCGGCGACTGTCGGGAAGAGGGCGAGGTCGGAGCGAAGACCGGCGGCGAGGAGAGCGCTCGGCGAGAAGGGGTACGGCGCCAGCGAGTGGAGATACGCGCCGCCGGACGGCGCGCCAACCGGTGGAGGCGAGCACGAGGCGGACATCGCCGTCGACATTGTCGCCGTCGCCGTCGCCGTTGGCGACGGGAAGACGAGTTGGTGGTGGGTTGTCTCGACCGGCGAGTGTCGTCTCGACGTCGACGTCGACGTCGACGTTGGCGACGCGAAGACGAGTTGGTGGTGGGCTGTCTCGACGGGCGAGTGTCGTCTCGACGTCGCCGTCGACGTCGACGTTGGCGACGCGAAGAGGGTTGTCCCGACCGGCGAGTGTCGTCTCGACGTCGAGTCGACGCTCTTGTCTATCGGACCGTTGGCTCGGACGCAAGCCGCAGCCTCTGGCACCTGCCAGCCTGATGGAGCTTCCAACTCGCCGGACGTATCCTGACGCCACGTCACTGGGATCCCGTCGCCGTGGAGCCCTGCAGCCGACCAATCACAATCAAGACGGTGGGCAAAATGGGGAAGACAAGGTTGAGTGGACCGGGAAACATCTCGCGTCAGCGTGAAACCCTCGTGATTATATACCTCCTGTCGGTGGCAGAGGCCCCCTTCTGATTGGACGACCACAAATGTTGCCCCTCTCTCTCTCTCTCTCTCTCTCTCTC